ATACTTAGTATACTTGGGAAGTATTTAGAGATAGTACGATTAGTATAGACATGTATCATATGTATTACGACTATTAGGATATTAAAAATAAAAAAATAAAAATGAAAATAAAAGAATTTTACAAAATAAGATCCTAGTAAAATTAAAATGAAAAATAAAATAATGTTTAAATATACTTACATTAATAAAATTAAATTTAATGTTTAAATATGCTTACATTAATAAAATTAAATTTTTTTTTAAATTAAAGATAATACCTACATGATACATTAAATGTACAACGAAATAGCATTTAAAATAATTTGTTACAGGTCTGTTTAAAAAAATTAATTTACTTATAAATTTTTCTTAAGATTATATATTACTGGAATAAAATTTGAATATTAAATTTAAATTTTAGAGGCAGTCTATCGCATTTTAATTCTATAGATTTATATTACTTTAATCTTATTAATTTTGCCGTATTTTATAATACCAAAATAAATGCCATAATATCATTCCTCTAAATTCTTCAGTTTTGAATGATGTATTAATCGGTGTGAATTAGAATTTAGTAATATTTAACTGTATTTAATAATATACAATTAATTATAGCTGTAATTAATCATGTATCTTTTGAGATTTGTCTACGAATAAGAATTTCAAAGCTGAATACAGCCTTAATTAAGTCTCAATTAATTATGTAATTATTATCCGCGTCTTGAAATGTGTAACTTCATACCGAGTTACTTACATGATACTTTCGTGACAACATGCAAGTGATAACTATAAACACAAGCTTGAGACATTTGTTTAGACATACATAACTCCTCGAAGCATAATTCTTACCTCGTATCTTTGGATTATCTGTCTTTTTCTTTCACGTCGTTTTCCGCACGCGGATTTATAGTGGATTTTCACTCGACGTCGGTGAAAAATGATGGCGCTTTCGGTTAAAAGGTGCGCTTTCACGCAGGAAGCATCATACATCATAGATTACAAAATAGCCGAGCACTTAAGTGTCGGTTAAAAGCTCGTAAAATCATACGATTTTCCCATCTTTCGAGCACGAACTGCTAGAATTTACAATTTCCTCCATTGTGGCGAAACATCTAGCAAATATTAGCGATCAAATTTCAAACAAATATTTATCACATATGTATATTATGCGTATATCTACAAACCTATCGTACAAACGTTACGTACATATTGCATTTCCGTATAATAATCGTTTCTTTATCATCAACATTATTGATTTGCATTATTAATCTAATTGTTGATTTACAGAAAATTAAATTTTTAATAAAAAAAAAGATCAACATATAACAATTCTTAGTGATATTTTTACTATCTTTTCTTATAAAAAGATAATGATAAAAATTAAATTATATAGATAATCTCTGCCATTAAATGTATTTTATTTTTTTCTAAATTTTGATAAACTAATGACTGATATAGATTCTGATATTCGTCACGCTATAAAATTATTATTTATCATATTCTAATTAAGAGTCTTATATGAAAATTTGGTATTAAATGGTAGATGTGAAATCATAACATTAATCCCAACTTCTTGACATATCCATGATCCTCTTACAATAAATTAGTTAATTTATTATATATATTAAATAAACCGTTCTCTCAGTTGATAAATTTATAAACATATGGTTACAATAGTGTATGAATATTACATTTATTTACCGCGCTGTAGCAAGAAAACAGCAACTATGAGTGCTTTTTACATTCACATGCTATAATCATTTCATCCTTGTTATCTATCAAATATTAAACAAGGGAAAAGTGATGCTTACAAGTGCAAAAGCACGTGCACTCTTTGTGCATGTGTGTGCATATGTATAATGGCTTTCTTAATGCCGCGAAGTTGGAGCTTATATTCCCTTCCTTTTAAGAATATAACACAGATTTCTAGAGATTATTCTGCAAAACAGAATTACTTCCAGCACTATTATAGTATTCGTACACGTAACAAACTAGCCCAGAAAGTAAATGCCACGACTGTAATATAAACTTCTATTAGTATATACTTTATATACCTACATTTACTAATTTCAAAATTACAAATAATAACAAGATGCTATCGTTATTTTTTAAAACACTGTTTTTTAATACCATTTCAAGATAATTCCTTGTTACCAAAATTCACCATTTTCGGATTACTTTAACTGCCTCAAGGAATAGAGGCTTCAAAAAAGCGTGACACGCCAATTTTAAGATATGATGATGATGATGATCATATCTTAAAATGGGCGTGTCACGCTTTTTTGAAGCCTCTATTCGTTGAGGCAGTTAAAGTAATCCGAAAATGGTGAATTTTGGTAACAAGGAATTTTCGGGGACGCTCTTTTAAAAACATGGTAAAAATTATGATAATTAAAAAAGACTTATCCAATATGGCGGACGAAAAAGATGCGAAAATCTTAAAGATTTTCCGATTTCGGCGAAATTTGGATTAAGGGGGCTTACGCGGACGCTGATTTCGAATCCGTGATCAAAATTAGGAAAATCCAAATAGCTGATCCAAAATGGCGGACGGAAAGTGTTGCGAAATACATAAAAATTTAAAAATTTCGGCGAAATTTGAATTAAAGGGGCTTACGCGGCCGCTGATTTCAAATCTGTGATCAAAATTAGGAAATTCCAAATGGTTAATCCAAAATGGCGGACGAAAGTGTTTCAAAATACATAAAAATTTAAAAATTTCAGCGAAATTAGGTAAATGGGGGTTACCGCGAACGCTGATTTTGATTCCGTGTTCCAAATTTTTAAATTCAATATGGCAGACGGAAATGTTGCGGAAATCAATAAGATTTTCCGAATATGACGAATTTAATAAAACGCAAAGAAATGTAATTATAATTTAAAGCTTAATCAACTATGCTATGGTGTAAATTTTGTAAGAAAAAATTATATGGTCGTTCAAAAAAAAAAAGAATCGCGCGCGTAGCGCTCTGTGAAGTTGGCACCCCTAAATGCGAATATTGGTAATATCATTATTGCATTCGTTTGTCCACGTTTGTCCACCCGTTATTTTCTTTGGTCCACCCCGCGAAAAAAGGTTATACACAAAAAAAAATTGTAACATCCCCAAGTGATAATTTTTCATAATTATGTACGGGTACCGTTTGTCCACAACGCGCACGTGATTGTTCACCCATTATTTTCATTTGTCCACCCTATTTTTATTATATTTTTCGTAATAATGTAAAATAATCACTTGGGGGTGTTACAATCTTTTTTTATGCATAACTTTTTTTTGGAGGGTGGACAAATGAAAATAACGGGTGGACAAACGTGGACAAACAGTGGACAAACGAATGCAATAATGATTTTACCAATATTCGCATTTAGGGGTACCAACTTCACAGAGCTGCTTTGTGAAGTTGGAATCTCTAAATGCGAATATTGGTAAAATAATTATTGCATTCGTTTGTCCACTGTTTGTCCACGTTTGTCCACCCGTCATTTTCATTTGTCCACCCTCCAAAAAAATGTTATACACAAAAAAAGATTGTAACATCCCCCAAGTGATTATTTTTCGAGTTCGTATTGATTGCTTGAGATTTCATTTTACTAAATTAATGATTTTTTCGAAAAAATACGAATTAAAAATATAAAAAAAAACGAAGAACAACTGAATAAGATTAAAAGAAGATGAAGAAAATGTTACGGAAAGACAATGTTGTTCTCGATGACTCTTCCTTTATCAATAGAGATTTATCTAAAATTGAAGAAAGATTGGGGATTAAGAAGAATTATTCGGGCTGAAGATATCAGGTCTGTTTTTGCTGGAGTCCGAAATCTGATCAGCGCATGGCGCATGGGAGTCATCAATCTTCTACACAAAGAGATTGTCCCTTTTGTAACGATTGACTTCTTCAATTGATTTAGATAATATCATCTCCGTTGAGGAGATTTTGCACATCTTCCGCTTATTTAATGTAATTTTTTTTTATTTTCGTCTATATAAAAGCTAAAAAAATAAGGTGTTTTTAGAAATATTTTTAAAGAAACTTATTCAAATATTTTAAACATTTTACACATCAAAGATATATATACATATATATATGTGTGTATGTGTGTACTTTTATTTTGACAGAATGCTATTTTATTGCTTTTATGATTTAAGACATTTTAATGGTGTATAATAACAAAAAATAACATTCAACGAGTAGAATAAACTTTGATTTTTCATTTCTTGTTCATAGAACGAAAATGAGAGCTCTTACAAGTCGCCCCGCGGTTAATCACTAATTGAATAATAGCAGAAAAAAGAAAGTTTAATATTGATGTAAAAATTTGAAGATATTAATGAAACATACATCAAATTTGATAAATAGCGATATTATTATATTTTTATTTTGACAGATTGTCGTTTTGTTATTAATATATTTTGAAGCATTTTAGTGAATCGGTGTCAAAAATTACATTCAACAAATAAAACAAATTTTAATATTTTGATTATAAACCTATAGAATAAAATAAGAATTCTCACAAATCCTTACAGGCTATTATTGATTAAATCATAATAGTGAGAGAAAGATAAATAGCAATATATGTTATTTTTCTGCTTCTAGACAACAATCTCTTTTGACGTAAAACTCCATTTGGAATTGCCTTGTGTAATATTATCTACACTATTCATATCTACACTGAATACTCTCCCGGTACCAATAATGTATTCCACAAACAAAAGGTTGTTCACATAGGTGAAATTAATGAGGATGGCTGCTGGGTCAGCGAGAAACGAGCGAGAGTCAGGTATATTCCGGCATAGTGAATTGTCAGGAAATTATTTGCTTAAAATTGCAAATTTATGCTCACCATTGAAATCATTCAATTATTGTAATTTCAATGTATGATAATAATTAATTATTAAATAGGAGTAATTAGCAATTACAAATAATTCTTAATGGTATAATTCTTTGTAAAGGTCAAAATTAATAAAAGATATAATATTATATACACTATTATACGCGACGCGTCATTACAATCACATTTACCGTGATGATCTGCATTTATCACTATCTTCGTACATACCTTCGTTCAAACCCAAATTCGTTACTACAACAACACTATACAATGAATATTTTGTTGAGCTAAGAGATCTATCGCCGCGCAATCTGATATACTTTTAAGTTCTAAAGAGAAATCATTGTTGTAAATCTATTTCGCAAAATAGAACATCGAGGATCGATAGACACACCATTTATGGAGGAACTGGCGCGTCGACGACGGGACCGCTATAACATAAAATAATAATCGGGCCATATTCGGCCAAACTGTTAAATCGTATAGTTATGTGCAATTGATGTTCTAGAACTACCGAATGTTCTCTCTCTTCCATCAATTTAAAAAGGCTTCCTTAATAACAATGTTGAAGATAGTTATCACTTATTTCATTCTTTTAATTTTCAAATCGTAACTTTTTAACTAAATTTTATATTAAACTTTGAAATTTTAAAACAGATTCTAATTTGATATTAATTTAAAAAGATATGAATTGAAAAAGACAAAAGACTTACAAAAAACTATATAATGAATTTTATATCTTCTTTTCTAAAGTTTTATTTTTAATAGAGCGAATCGCTTAAAAGGGAGACATGTGATAGATGCCTTAATATTTTCGTTGAGAATAGATGGACAAAAGAATTTATGATGAAAGGACAATCGATTGTTTTAAAATATTTTGAGTTTTACTATATAAAATCGTTGTTGTCGTAGTTGTCAATGACTCGTTGCTGTGAGATGTCAACTCTAGGTACAATAACGGAAATCATGACTATACTTTTCGGAACATATAACCCTGTCATACACGACACTTTGATCGAGATTGCATCCTAACGAGAGACTCGTGCCACGAGCTTTGACATTTTGATTACATGTGCAGCACGTTTGTGACAGTTTCCGAGAGCGTATAATCGGTAACAAACATCAAGTGTAAAGTTAGAATCACGTCACAAAAATATAAAATTCATTGAAACTTATCGAGAGCAGCAATTTAGAAATTTTATTTTCGGTAAATAAAAATTTATATTGTGTCTTATACAAGATATTTTTTAAATGGTATATAAACTATAAATACAGAAACCAAGTACATACAATATACGCAAGTACTTTACTCTTTAGTTTATTTTTTATACATATATCATTATTTCTTATTTTATGTACAGAATATAATATAACGAACTCACTTCACAAATTCTTTGGTAGACGTATCGCAGAAGTTAGTGTTGAAAGTTTTATGTTCATTGTAAATTCAAAATCACAATTATGTACAATAGATAACTACAAATTTAATAATACATTGTCAGATAATACATCGCACTAAAGAATTCTACTCAATAATAGATTTTACCTCATAGACAATAAAATTATAAAGTCTAACAGTTTTCTTTAACAGCTGTAACTTTTATACTTGAAAAATCGGTACATGTTTGTTTTAGAATTCCGTACGTGTCTGAATCTGAATATAAAAAGGCAGTAATTGCAAGTCCAAAATTAAACTATTTTCAATATTTTGCAATTTATCTGAGATTTATTATTTATGTTCAAGTAGTAATTTGAAAGTATTTTATTTTTTAATTTTATCTTTAACAGAAGTACCTTGTACATTATATGACAAAATTTTAAAATAATGGTTGCAATTTAAGCTGGAGTCACTCTGATGCCTTCATACTCCAGATCATGATTCCCAAAGGGAATATTTTCCCATTAAGTATTTCAAACTCGTTCGAATGAGCTCGCGTTCGACGAGTGCTTCTCCCCAAAGGATCAAAGCTACTCAAGTTAGGAAAAGAGTAGAAAATCGTCGTCACCTATAGCTTTCCGGTATTACTTTTTTTGTTGGTCTTTTGATATCGGAGCCGTTATTTTCTGAAAATCTAGGAAGCCCGCGCTTATCAGCACACATGCATAAAGGAGCGATCGTAACTGGCAGTAACGATGGTACATCTATCGTATCGACCATTATGGTTATTGCAGATGTGATATGGAAGCGATTATGTCACATGGTAACACGGTAATGACCAAATCATGTGTTCGATGGTGCATGTAACTCGCTGTTCGATAGGATAACCCAGAAGCGTCATGCCGTGTTTAACGATATGTGCATTCGGAGAGAAAATATGACTATTAAAAGTTTTCTTCTATAGCTTAACGTCTCCTCGAATATCTTTTGCTTTCTGATCTTTATTCAATTTTACGTTGATAAAGTCGTTGATCTGTAGATTTTTAAGGTGAATTTTTTTTCACATTTTTTTTATACGTATCTTATCAACTTTATAGTATTTATCAAGATTTGCTTTTATCGCCATTTGTAAAAAGCGATATAAAAATTTGAAAACTTGTTGAAAGCTCTTATTTATTAACACTCTGCTGGAAAACGTAAAGTTCAGGTTTAATACATCAAGAATGGGGCACTAAAACTTTCTTCAGAGAAACTTAAAGAAACTAATAATTTTTAAGTTATATACGAGAGAATGAAAATAAATGACTTTCTTTAAAAATAAAACTTCTGAGGCGGAAAAAAAATTTTTTTTTTTAATGGATCTTAAAAGAGTAACTTAATAATTTTATTGATAAATATCCATATAAGACCAATCTTTTCAATAGTCAATGGCTTGACATATGTTGTCAAGGTAATGACCCTAAATAATATTTAAAAGATTTTAGCTGTCGCTCGTTATTTATTAAAAAGTTATTAACAAAAAAATGTATTAAATATATTATTTTTAACATATGTGCATGTTCTGTAGCCACATGTATGCATACATTTTACCACATTATATATTTACTTTATTAAATAAATGAGTCTATTTTTAACAGTGTACTAAATAATGGATATCGAAGAGATTAGACAAATTCTTACGTAAGGTAGAACGTTTACATAAAAATACAAAAGCTCTCGATTACCAAAAAACACTTTCAATTGCCGGTATTTGTCTCGAGAGATCGAAATCAATTAGTCAGTATAGTTGATTTACGGCGGAATGCCATGATAGTTTGTGAAAATTATCGTCCGCCAATTACCATTTAGATGCGTAACAACGCGTATTGATTTCGACAATCGGTGATTAAACGGCTAAAGAGCTATAAATTATAACAGTGCAATAGAATTAGATTATTTCAATCGACATTTATGCCATGTTTGTAGATATAAGCGATTCTGATTGAACGATGCGTGAAATTATTACATATATATCTCATTAATAAATACGTTAATAAATACGTTAACTATTGGATTTATTAATTAAGCGATGATAGCATCACTTACTCAACTTTAATATAATTAATAATATGTCAATTACCATTAAATACATTTAGTTTGTATATATTTCAATCAATACTATTACTTACTGCATATATATATATTTAAGATCAAATGATAATTGTTGTTTCGAGATTAATACTGAAATATGATAATACTAATGAAAGTATTATTATTGAGCCACGGTAAACTAATTAATTAATAAAATAATAATTGCTGTTTCGAAGCCAACAATAATAAAGACGTTATCATTCCACAGTAATTAAATGAATTAATGAAATGTTGATAATTAAACCATTAAAGAAAATATACTTATTGTTAAATAATTGTAATAAAGTGTTATAATAAATTAAATTGTAATAATATATTAATTAAAAAAGACCTTAATAATGCATTCTGTTAAAATATATATATATATATATATATATAATATTTTTTTAAAAACAGCAAATTTATATATAACAGCTACATAAAATTAATGCATTATCTGGCATGTTTTCTGTTTGGTGCTTTTAACTTTTTTTACAATATAACTCATCGAGAATGTTATTTAAAAACAAAATATACGTGTACATATCAAATGTTATAAATGGATATAGCTCGGTGTATCTTAAAATTTACATACTTTTTCACAAATCGTAAAACAATTTAATCATGTTCTTTCAGAAACAACACGTTTACTTTTATGATACTCTTCTATATTAATTTTTTAATCGAAACTGTACTTATCTCTTTCTCTTTCTCTTTTTCTCTCAAAGTTATGTTTTTCTTATTGCTCGAAGTTAAGCAAGTCGGAGTATAAATCTTCAATTATAACTACGAACTATATCGTAAAATTCAATTATTCAAGTATAATACCATAACGCTCGAGTTTAATATTATCAACGATGTTAATTGTATAAAGTAAAATAAGATGAAACCGACAAGGCATGTTATTTATATTGTGTGAGTTCTCTAGCGAAAAGTCAACAGAAGGTATATTTATAGAGAGAGAAATATGCAATGAAATTCATCGAAAAAGTTTTCTAGCTTTTATGATTTAAGATATTAAGTAAACTGAGATGAATATAATTCGTTACAATAATTTATTGCGAAAATTCTGACACTGATTCATGATCAGTTGTCTTCACCACAGCATGCGTAATAATTTTTATTTGAGGAAATAAGTGTCATCATCCAAATGTATATTTAATTAATCTTCAAGTAAAACTGTCATCTCAACTAGTTTGTGCTTGAGGATAAGAAGAGATTAGTCGAAATAGTTACACATAATCGCAAAGAAATATGTCGATATGTAGCTCAAAAATCACACATTATTAATACATAAAATAAAAAAATTATAAATCAAAATTTTATAAATATTTTTATAAACATTTATAAAATTTTGATTTACAATTTGTTTTTAAATATATGATTCTTTGTTGTAATATGTGTATCCTCTCATTTTAATATTTCGAATTTATTCAATCATAAATTAATTTAAATTTTACAACTTCTTAAACAGAAATGTTTTATTCAAAAGTTAAACTGTGCAATATCTGTACTTTAAAATTATAATAGCAAAGCAACTGTATTATTGCGGGTATTTTTATTCTCCTTTTTTATCTTGAAATATCAATGCGGCAATAGCGGTTTATTTACGAATAATACATACTTATATACTCCTGCATATGTAAGTGATAAAAAAATTAGTATTGCACGTGGCTTATATTACTGCAATAAACTTTGTTCATTGTCAAATGCTTCTACTTTTTCTCATTTATTTTTGTCATTCAAAAATATTTAGAATGTAGAAAAAAGCTATTGTACTGTTAAATATAGTGACAGATTATACATAATATTATTTTATTACAATACAATCT